TGTAGAGGTCTTTCATTTCCATGGGTAGGTTATTTCCTAAGTAATTTTTCTTGATGCTATTGTGAAATGTGTTGTTTCCCTAATTGCTCTCGTGATGAGTTTATTGTTAGTGTTCAGGAGGACGGTTAATGTTTGAGTGCTGACTTGTGTCAACTGGATTTGGTTTTTCATGCTAGGAGGTTTTCGGTGAAGTATTTGGAGTCTTTTATGTAGGACATCATGTCATCTGCAAATAATGATAATTTCACTTCTTCCTTTCCTATCTACATCCTTTTTATTTCTTTCTCTTGCCTGATTGCTCTGGCTAGTGTTTGAGAACTGTACTGAATAGGACTAGTGATAGTGGGCATCTTCTTTCTGATTTTAGAGGGAAGGATTTCAGCTTCTCTCCCTTTAGTATGATGGTGACCATTGGCTTGTTATAGGTGGCTTTTATCAGATTGATATAAAGACCTTCATACACATTCTCTTCATGGTTTCATCATGAATGGATATTGCACTTTGTCAAATGCTCTTTCTGTATCTATTGAGATGATTACATAACTTTTATCTTTGCTTCTGTTTATGCGGTATATTACATTTATTGATTTGTATATGTTGACACATCATGAAATCCCTGGAATGAATCCTGCTTGGTCATGACGTATGATCTTTTTGATAGCTTTCTGCTGTATGTTTGCCATTGTCTCATTGAGGTTTTGCATCTATGTTCATTAAAGAAATTGGCCTGAGTTCTTTTTTTTTGGTTGAGTCCTTTCCTGGTTTTGGAGTGAGGATAATGCTTGCTTCTAGGAACGACTTTGGGAGCACTGCCCCTCCTTTAATTTCATTAAAGAGTCTGACAAGTATTGAGGTCTTCTCTAAAGTTACAGTTTGGCAGTGAATCTGTCAGGACTTAGCTTTCCTTGGTAGATTTTTTTTGTTCACTTCGTACTGGATTGTGCAGGATTTTTAAATCTTCTTGGCCCAGCTTTGGTAATTCATAGGTATCCAGAAATCTACCCATTTTCCCTGAATTTTTCATTTTATTGGAGTATGGGTTCTCAAAGTAGTTACTAGTGATTTTCTGGATGTTAGCAGAATCTGCTGTGATTTCACCTTTTTCATTTCTGATTGTATGATTCAGGTCTTTTCTTTCCTTATTTTGGTAAGATTAGCTGATGGTTTATCTATTTCTCTTTTCAGAGAACCATCCCTTCTGCTCATTGATTTTTTGCACCATTTCTTTGTCTCAGTTTCAATAATATCTGTTCTGATCTTTTTGATTTCCTTACTCATATTAGCTTTAGATTTGGATTATTCTTATTATTCTAGGACCCTGACATACATCATTAGGTTATTTATTTGCGTTTGCTCTGATTTTCTGATGTGGGCTCTGAATGTCCCTCATAGGACTACATTTGTTTTGTCCCATAGATTCTAGCATGTCACACTGGCATTATCATTGGACTGTAGGAGCTGTCTTATTTTTTTCCTTAATTTCATGTGTGACCCATTGATTATTCAAGAAGATATTGCTTAATTTCCTTGTGTTTGCATAGTTTCTGTGGTTTCTTTTGCCACTGATTTCTAGTTTCACTGTGCTATGATCTGATAATATGCATGGGATAATTTTGATTCTTTTGTATTTACTTAAGCATGCTTTATGGGTGAGTATGTGGTCTGTTTCAGAGAAAATTCTATGTGCTGTTATGCAGAATGTATACTGTGTTGTTGGGTAAGACACTAGATATCTACTGAGGCCATTTGTTTGAAAGTTTGATTCAACTCTGATGTTTCTTTGTTGATTTTTTTTTTTTGTCTAGTTGATCTATTTGTGACAGTGTGTATTGAGGTCCTCCATTACAATAGTGTTGTTGTTTATCTGATTTTTCATATTTATTAGTGTGTGTTTTATGAAGCTGGACACACTGATATTTGGTACATATATTGTTCCTAATTTTTATTGCTTTCTGTTGAATAGTTCCCTTAAACAATATGTATTGATCTTCTTTATCTCTTCTGATCAGTTTTGGCTGGAAATCACTTTGAAATTAGGATAGCTGCTTCTGCTTTTTTTTTCTGGGTTCCCATTGCGTGGGACGTTGTTCATCTTTTGAATTTTCATCTGTGAAATTATTTTTGAATCAAATGTGTTTCTTGTACAGTGTGTATCATAGGATTTTTAAAATCTGTTCTGCCAATCTGTGTCTTTCAATAGGGAAGTTGAGACCACTCACTGAGAGTGAATACTGGAAGGTACTGACCTATTCCTGTCACTGCAAATTATTTTCTAGTGGTTTATTTCTTTTTTTCCCCTTTTGCTTAACTGCTCATCCTATCAGGTGTATTTATTCTTTCTGACTTTTTGCCATTGTTGTCTTGTCTTTTTCTAGGGTATCTTTGAGACTTTTTTGTAATGCTGGTTTGGTCATGCATTTCCTGGGGTGCTCCTTGTCATGGAGATACCTTATTTCTCTATCAATTTTAAGGAAAGTTTTGCAGAATACCTAATTTGGGTTAGGAGTTGTTCTCCATTAGGGCTTGAAACACTGCATTCCAAGCCCTCCTGGCCTTTAAGGTTTGGGTTGAGCAGTCTGCTGTTCTTCTAATGGGTTTACCTTTGCATGTGATTTGTTGCCTTCTCTAATAGTGTTTAAGATTTTGTTCTTATTGTTAACTTCTTGTGTTTTGTGTACAGTGTGGTGCAGAGAGGTTCTGTTTTGGTCATAGTTATTGGAGTTCAATATGCCTCACTTATCTATATGTTTATTTCTTTCCCTATGTTTAGGAAGTTTTCTACTATTCTTTCTATGACCAGGTTTTCATGCCATTTGTGATGTCCTCTGATTTTTCACTTACTCAGTTGCTCTTAGGTTAGTCTTTTGTGTCTTCTATTAGCTGTTGGATCCATTTTTCCTGTTCCTTGGTTGCTTTGATAGTTGATCTCTGAGAGTGTCATCTTCTAGTCCTCAAATTCTGTCCTCACATTGGTCACTTCTGCTGTCCATGCTCTCAATGTAATTTTTAATCTCTTGGATTTCAGGTTGAAACCCTTTCAAGGGCTCTAACTCTTTGGCAAACTGGTCATTCACTTTCTGTAGCTCAGCTAGCTTTTTATTAGTGTTGTCTGAAAGTTCCTGCGTGTTTTGATTATTACTTCCATTATCTGTTCAATTATCTGTTTAGTTTTCTGATCCTGCTGAGTAACTCTTTGATCTGCTTTCTGACCTCCTCTCTTATCCTTTTAAATAACTTGCATACGTGGCTTATGTATCTCCTTCCTGGGTTCCCCTGGATTGGCTTCAGTGGAATTCGGAGTTTTGGGAGGCACTTTGTTGCCTTGTCTTTTCACGTTTCTATTGTTTTTGTTATTGTTGTTTTGTGCTGAGGTTTGTGGGGGCCTAGAATGTAAAGAAGTATCTGTTGTGAGAAGGACATGCAGACATCTTCGATCATTGGGTTTCAGTCAGTGCCAGTGTTCTTTTTGTCTTTGAAATTCATTCTGACTCCATTAAGAAGCATGGCTGCCCAGCTGTCAGTGCCTTGACTGTGTTAGTCTGTGTTCTGTCCCCATGGCAAATACCTGAGGCATTTATAAAGAGAAGAAGGTTTTCACAGTTTCAGAACTTCCAGTCCATGACTGTGTGGCTCCATGTCTTCGGGCCCATGGTGACCCATCATTGTGGGAGCACATGGCAGAGCAAAAACCATTCCTTTCATGACTGGGGAGGGATGGGAAGGAGAAAGGAAGAGGCCAGGGCTCCTCTGTCTATCCAAGAACCTGCCCCTCGTGCACACCTCCCACCAGGCCCCACCTCTTAAAGGTTCTGCCCCTTTTCAACAGCACCACAGACTGGGGACCAAGCCCCAACACATGGCCCTCGGGGAGTTCCAGATCCAAGCGGTAGCACCAGGTGCTTAGCTATAGACATAACACACCTACTCTGTACTTGCTTCAAGTCTTGCTAAACTCCCACTGTCCTGGGCACGGCACATGCCGTGTGTGAATCTGGGAACAGAGGATGCTTGTGTGCTAACTCCCGACACACCTCTGCTTCTCAGTGCTATGAACTCTACCCCAGTGAAGTGTGCACTGAGCTTTGGCTTTGTGGCAACCTCCGTGGGAGGCAACAAAGTGCCTCCCCAAACTCCAAATTCCACTGAAGCCAATCTGGGGGAACCCAGGAGGGGGGATACATGAGCCACATATGCAAATTATTTAAAAGGATAAGAGAGGAGGTCAGAGAGCAGATCAAAGTGTTACTCAGCAGGATCAGAATAGCAAGCCAGGCCTCTGCAGAGCCAAGGTCAGTGCTGGAATTATAGGGCATCAGAGAATGTAAAAAAAGATAGAACAGTAAATGGGTTGAAATATAATGCAAAAAATAGGACACCATAACCTCACAAGTACAATGATTTTCCTCATTTTCATAATTGGTGTTATTATTTTCTCATTACAAAGATATTTGCTAGATTAACAAAAAGGGAAAACCACAGCATAGACAAAGACAAAGGACAAAACCCTCAGCTGTTTGGACCTTCACCACAGAGGTAGGCAGGTTTTGGGGGATGTATATTTTTGGTCTTGTGTTCCATTTATATAATTTGTACATTTTTATTTTAGTAAAAATATCTGTGTAGAAATTTTCACAAAGCATCAGTGTTTCCATATCGTTTACATTTCCCTACATCAGTAAACATCCCTCTCGATTATTTTCATGGTTGCAAAGTATTTTGTATGACGCACATCTGACAGTTTCTTTAATGCTGTGTTGCTGAATACTTAGGTTGTGGCCAGTGGGAAGTGCACTGAAATGTTCATCTTTAGAGACAAACATATGGTTCCTGTGTGATGTCAGAATGGTGGACACCGAAAAGGTCTTGTTGCAAGCAGCCTTCCGGTTGTGCCGCCTAGCTGTATGGATTCCTCAAGGTGCAGACGGTATAATGTCTCTCAGGCTGCCTTCCGCTAACAGTGGTTTTCTGGTTGGCTCTAGAGAGAAGACCGGCAGCGAGACATGCATCTGGAGAGTAAGGAGGGCAGACTGGCCTCTGCTGTGCTGGAGGTGGAGCTGCATCAGACCTCGGCTCTGACTTGTGCGGACCCTGGAGGGCCGAAGCGCACCACACCCACCGCCAGTGACCACAGCCGCTATACGACTGATGTCCCAAGTCCCTGTCCCAGCTGGGCTGCGGGGCAGAGCCCCTGGGCTCCTGAACGCAAGGGTTTGGGTTCATTCCTCAGAGAGGGGAGGTGAGTTCAGAATACTTTTATTTTATAAGTGTAGAGCTCACAAACATTGCACTTCCATGAATATAGTTCCCTCTATTTTTGTGAGAAAAATTTCCAGAAATTTTGCAAAAGTCTTTCCAGCATTAGGTCACTTTCCTGGTCCATTTTGGATGAATGATATTTCTAAATATGACAAACTTAACTTAGCTTCAAAAAGATAATAAAATAGAAAAAGGAATTTTTTGGCATGAATTCTTAGCATTTCATATATTACTTAAGATATTCAGAACAGTGCATGGTATATATATAGAGAGAGAAAGAAAGAGGGTGAGAGAGAGAGAGGGAGAGAGAATGCTTTATCTCTAAGTATAGCAAGGAACCGAATAATGTTTTAAATGTCAGAAAAATCTGGATTAAGATAAAAAGAAACATTTTTGAATATTTGCTGATATGAACACAATAGATTTTATGTGTGAACGTTTGCACCTCAAGTCCGTAATTGAGTTTCCACATGTATCGTCATAACGAGGAACGCAGCTCCTGCCTGTGCCCTGCTGGCCTGGGAGGACTTGGTTATCACCTGCAGTTCTGGGAGCCTCATCTCCACAGCGTAACTCCCACTCAGGCGCTGTTGCTCAGCTGGAATCCTGAGTCAGGCGGCACTGATTGCGTTTTTGGCCTTTCAAAGAGCAAATTGCCACAGAAGTCCGTGTGCGGGGCACGTTCTGCCCAGCCGGTATCCTGTTTCCTCCCACTCTTGGGAGGAGGCTCCCTGATGCGTGCATTTAGACTTTCCCTGTGGGTCTGGATAACTAAGTCCATGTTTTGTAAATGCTGAAAGTTGGAGCTCTGTTTGCCCAGCGTGTTTTTGAGATTTATCTCCGTGGATGACCATAGCTCTTGTTTATACCCTTGAGCTACTTACATAGCATTTTACTGTACAGAAACACTGCTGGTGGTGTATTTTCAGTAGCTCTCTGGGTCCCTGTGGAGTATCCGCCAGTGCCGCAGGGCCCAGACACAAAGCTCCGTGCCCACCACCTGGCCCTGGGCTGGGTGTTGGTGGTGCTGGTTCAGCTCTGCATGGGGGTGGGCAGCTGCTGGCTGGTGCAGGAGCCCCTCTTGCTGCCTCTACTTCTCTTTCTTTTTGTCCTTACCTGTGCAGTCTTACAGGTTCCCACAGGGTGGAAGTGGGGAGGGGAGAGGGTAGGAGCTCACCCAAGGCCCTGTCGTGTCAGATCTGCTAACGTCCCATGAACAAACTCAGAGCGACAGCCTATGCTGTGCTAGCGTCACCAGATAGAATACAGGAGGCCCAGAAGTCGCCTGTGTTATCGCACCAGTTAGGATGGCTGCTACGGAGAGCCAGAAGGTCGCAAGCAGTGATGAAGGTGGGGTGAGCCCGGAGGCCTTGCGCACAGGCTTCTGTGGGAATGAAAGACTGGGCGGCCACTGCGTGGGTCAGTAGGGAACTTCCCCAAGAAGGTAACAATGGAATCGCCCCGTGATCCACCAGTCCCAGCTCCGGGTGCACGCCCCAAAGCATTGAAAAGCAGCTGTAGTTGGAATGTTTGTGTCACAGAATTCATGTTGGAAATGAAGTCCACTGTGCCAGCATTCAGAGGTAGGACCGTTAGGGAGATTAAATCCGGATGTGGATGCCCCCATTAAAATAAATGAGATTAATGACCTTATAAAGGGGTGGAGGAAGTGAGCCGGGCCCCCTTTGCCCTCCTACTTGCCAAGGGAGGACACAGCAAGAAGGCCCTGCCTAGAGGCGGAGTGTCAGACCCGGAGCTTGGTCGTCTGCCCACCCAGAGCTTCCCAAGGGGCTGGGGCATAGGGCAGGGCTGGGTTTGATTGGGTTTGCCTTTCTTGTTTCATCAAAATACGTGAAAAATGAAAAAAATAAAACACAAGTGTTCATCGCAGTGATTAGGCTGTGTAAGGCTTAAACACAACAAAAGGATGACGTGAACCAGTGTTGTGAGTCTGTTCACGCTAGCACAGCTGAGGCTAGGTGGGAGTTACCAGGTATGCACGGCCCAGCAAACCCTTTAGCTTCTGGGAGTTTGAGTGAGTTTGTGCAGACCCCATTGTGTGTTTTTTTTCTTTTTTTTGGTGCTGGAAATCGAACTCGCAACCTTGCACTTGCCAGGAGGGCGCTATGCTGCTGAGCTGTATCCCCGGCCTGCAGGCCCCATTGTGAAGAGGATGAGCAAGGTCAAAGAACACTGGGGGGTGATGAGATTGACTGTGTAAAGTTGTGCTGAGCCGGGTGCGGAGGCGCAGGCCTGTGGTCCCAGCACACAGGAGGACGAGGCGGAAGGACTGCAAGTTCCAGTCCCTCCTGAGTAACTTAGTGAAACCCTGTCTCTAAATAAATGAGTGAACAAAACTGCAAAAAACGTGCTGCACGTGATACCGAACTGTAGGGTCTGTGCTGCTCACTGTGTGACTGTAGACTCACAGAACTTAGAGGGAGGAGATAGCTTTATTCAAGGCCGGCCCCGAGGAGGATGGAGGGGCTTCTTTTGTGCCTCAGATTTCTACCTTAAAGGGGTGAGGGTATGATAAGCTTTAATAGGGGAAAAGAAAACAGTGGGAAGATGGGCTGGAAATCCTTGTGCTACACTGGGTCCCCCCAAGTACCCCTCTGCCTCTCCTCTTCTTCCACAGGAAAATCCAACCAGATCGCTGCCTCTAAGGCCAACACCTGCATTTTCTTTTAAGAGGGACGGTTTACCTTTTTGCGAGTCAATTCCTGTCAGCTGAGGAGAGGAGGGGGCATTGTAAGAGGACTCTGGTATTTGGAGTACCACGGGAAAAGGATGGGTCACTAAAAGATTAGGGAAAAGACACGTGTGTGTGTGTGTGTGTGTGTGTGTGTGTGTGTGTGT